GCATCAACATTGTAGCAATTATATACCCATACATGCTCATATGCTGTGAATTCCAGCCCTGTCTCCTGATGAGTCCCTGATCTATGAATTTCTATTCAAGTATCACTTCGTAGTGAGGCTAGTCTTTGTGTCCCCAGACAGATTCAAACACCCTGGGCTAACTCTTCACTCTACCTTGTTGTCTTCTTACTATCATCTGACTGCCATGTGCATTTGTCCATGTTTATCCTTAGCACTAGAATCTGTGCTATGTGACAATTATTCCAAGCAGATTCTACCTTGGCATGCCCCGTGCCCAACACATGGTGGAGTGAATGAATTAATTTGTCCATCTGGTACTATTTAGAACCTTGAATGTTGGAGCTAAAGTTCACATCTTTACTTCTCAGTGTCCAGAGTCCTCTAACACAAGTTAGACCAATATATCAATGTCTGTGGTTGGTAGGGGAGACATACTAATAATAAATAATTTTCATGTTGTGGGGCACTTTCTATGTACATCATATCATAACTGAAATCCAGATATCCTATATATAAACATATACAATACTCATTTAGATATATATATCATCATGTCATACATATTTAGCATCATAAGAATACATACATACTTAATTAAAAAAAAAAATCTAAAGGCAGGCATTTTTATCTCCACTTGGTAGGAAAGCTCAGAACCGAAGAGCAGAAGCTTACATTTTAACTCATTTGAACACCTCTGTGAGTTTCTTTGACATGCTGCTCATCATTCTAGGCAAAAAAATAAATCATAGTGCTTCCTACCTTTTTTGAACTTTTAGTAAGTGGCAGAGGTATGATTACAAACTGTGACTGTTCTATGAAGGGAAAGGGAGTGCTATGAGGGGAAATAACAAGGGAAGTATAATTTAAATTTGGAGGAGTTGAGATAGGTCTTACATGAAATCACACACCTACCTAAGAAGGAGTGGGCTAGACTTTGGGTCTAAATCTTCCTGACTGATGATTATGGGCAAAATGACACCTATGTGCTTCATTTTGTATGAGACTCGTGCTCTTAAAATTTTATTAAAGTTTAAAAAAATATCTAGTTTGAGTTGAGTTTTCTACAATTCACAGAATATTGGAGTCAGGAGCAACCAACTCTCAAGTGCTCCCTAAGGAGGGATCACTTGGTTAGCAGCCATTTTATGTGGTTATTTAAAAATTCCTTGAATGCCTTCAGTGGTGAGGAGCTCAGTACCTGAAAATGTAGCATATTCTACTCTCGTGCCTTGGATGGCTTGTTACCGACTCTCACGATGAGCTCGAAGCTGTTCCTTACCATTTCCCTCCTGGCAAAACAATAGGAAAGAAATCCACTTCTGCCCCATGAAATTCTTCCTAATGCTCGTCCAATTTGTCTTCCTGATGATATCAGGGATGTGGTTTTCTCATCTCTTCCCTGCCAAGTGTGAGCAGGGCCACTTCCCTTTACTGCAACCATCTATCTTACCCTCCCCTGGATCCCCCTCTTAAAATGGTACTCCTGGAACTGAACAAAACGGCCTCTGACCAGCATACAGAGTGTCAGTTTTTCTTCCTATGATCTGGTCATTTCTCCTTCTCTGGGACCACAGATGGACCATAACATCCCATGTCCACCTGTCAGTGTTTCACATTCTCATTACTTACTCATATGTTCTGTTTTTTACTTATTTGATTATAAACTCCTTAAGGGACGATCCTACCATAGGGTTTGGCACCATCAATGTTTCTCGGAAGAAATTTTTGAAATGGAGAAAGCCCCTCTGTTTCCATCAAATCTGTCTGATTCATGCCTTAAAATCAGCTGGTAAAAAACAGAAGATCCCATCATGAATATCTAAACATTGGAATGCTGCCATCTGCATCTGGATTGGGACCACCCAAACATTCGCTTGATGGGGGAAGCTTGGTGTCTTCTGAGGGTGTCCGACAGTCATGCACTAAAATCCCCAAACCTTTTCAAGGACAAATTTTAAATTCCCTTTATTTTTGGATTCAGGTAAAATCCTTTTTCCTTCTTTATCTCTCTGTCATCATCTTGCCCCACCATCAGCCAGCTTCTCCATGTTTACTACACTCCTAGGTTCTTGCTCCTTTGCCAGTTGTGGATCTTCGCTCAAATATTTATCTTGTCTACCTAAAAAACACAATCCACTTGGATTTTGTTCTTCAAGCAAAGTGGAGTATTTTTTTTTTTTTCTCTTCCAGGCTCCTCTGCCAACATGTTGAGAAGAATATGATCTTGTGTCCTATATAAGTGCTGTTTTCTAAAGCAACAGGTTCTAAAACCATTACAATGGTTCTAAAAGTTAGAATGAAAGGAGATGGAATCATCTGAGAGCCGGGCAGGCCAACAACAGAAGCAGCTCACATTTCTATGTGTGGATGATGGCCCGGCCCTCTGCTAAGTGTTCTCCCTTTACTCATTCAATCTTCACAACAACTCAATGAGAGGAACTTGAATATTAGCTCCATTTTACAGATGAGGAAACTGAAGTTCAGAAGAGTTCAAAATAATTTACCCAAGATTGTGCAAATAGTAAGGGATGAAGATGGGAGACAAAATCCTAGCAGCACCCACACCAGAAGCTATCTTTTCCCTTAACAAGGGCATTTGAATGCTACCTGCTGGGATTCCTCTTAGCATACTCGGAAACCATTCAGTCCTATCAGAGAGATACACAATCTCACTCTGATTAGACCTATCAATCCGGGAACAAAATTCAGTGGAAAGGAAACAAAGCCACCCTGAAGTCTTCTAAGAGAAGACTTCAGATTGGTAGGAGCATTGGACAATAGTTACGAAGCATGAATTCTAATCTCTGTCCCTGTCACATACCTGAACCTTTTACCCAAAGTTTTGTTTTAGAAGCTTGCTAAAATCTCTTTCCTTTCTAGAATCCTATTTTTAGAGTAATAAAAACAAGAACGTTAGACCCTGAGAAAGGGTGCTGGCCATCATCTTTAGCCCTGTGCTTCCCAATGTTTGAAAGAGATGTGGTTATTAAAAAAATTAAAGTCACTTAGTGAGAAGGTTACTCACTTTTCATTATCGGTCAATCACCCTGCTAATGTCATGGGGAAAATCTCTGTGTGGTGCTAGGATGTCTTTAACCCCTCTCTAACACTTGCTAATCTCCCTTTTTAGCACAGAGAGAGCAGGCTCCAAATTGAGAGCCTTTTGTCGAAAACAGTATTCATTGTAATGGTTTTATGTTGACTGTCAGAAATAGACCTCAAGAAGGCCTAAAACCTGGGCTTAGTGAGGGCATAGTCCATAGAATAAAAGGATCTTCAACAGTGTTCCTGAACGCAAATATTTTCAGCCACATACACCTGTTAGGCAGGCAAGGCAGGTAAAAGAGCCTAAAGAATAGATGAAAAGAGCTAGAAGAGAATAAAAAGCTTTTCTGGCAAAGGCTCATTTCTGAAGAATCTAATAGACTAGTTGGGGTCTTTAGCAGTGGGTACTTTGTGGCTATCAAAGGCCAGGAAAGTGTGACCTTCCACAAAGGAGGCTTTCTGTGTCTCCTCCAGTCAAACCTGTGCCTAGGAAACAGCAGCCTGTGTCAACATCAAGACACCTTCTTTCTTTGCCTGCATCTTTCTGTTGATGTGTTCTATTGTGACAAGTTCAGGGTGTTACCTTCTGTTGATAGATTTATGGATGCAACATAACATTTTATTTGTAAAATTAATCAATTTGAATGTGATAAGACATGGTCCTTGTTTTCATAAGACTCACCATGTAGCAGCAGAGATAGACATTGTTTATTTTCACCTAGTAAAAATGCAAAATTCTACCTCTGTCTGAGGTGGAGATAACCCCTAAGCCGACCATTTGATTGTCCTATGGAACATTAGCCAGTTTTGCTCTAACCTAGACATCTTAGTCCAGCATTCTTTGTCAAATGCCTGTATAACCTCTGATTTTTTATTTCTCTCTGGAACTAGTTTTTCATGGTACTTGTCCTCTCGTAATAGAGTTGAAAAACATCTTTGGCGTGTGTTCTTTCTATATTTGTAGGTTGGCCATGTTTTACTTTTTTTTGAAAATTATTCTTTGACAATACTGAACAAGTAAAATTCAACAAATATTTATTGATTGTGTCCAGTGTGCTAGGCACAAATATAAGCATGATTAAAACCTGTGGTAAGTGCTTTGTAGGAAAAGGCAGAGGTGGGGTGAGCTTACCTTTTATTGCAGAGTCAAATGAAGTAAAAGGAAGGAAGTTAAAAATATGTAAGTGATTGTATGTAAGTGTGGTTCACAGACATAAATAAAACTGTGAGGGGAACATGTGATTGGCTGAAATTCTGTGTTATGTGGATATCTCCCCTTACAGATAGATTTCTAGAGACTCAAAGAGGTCAACCCACCTACCCCAAGCTCATAACTCCGGAATCTTCATAATCTGATCTATCCACCACACAACCACAGAGTTACCCTGCTCTGAGAAAAGCTACTTGACCATGTGGTAGCATGTGGATGGCAGGAGAAAGGGACAGGTGGGCTGGGGAGAGAGAGAGAAGTTGCCTATGGAAGAGGCAGAGGCTAATTCTACAATGACTAACTGTGATGCTCCTTTATGTTCTCTTAGTGTTACCAAGCCAGGGAACACCTTGCCAGCTCCCAGCAAGACAATATTCCACCGGGGCTCATATTATATTAACTAAAGACAAATAGATAAGTTTGCAAGTGTTTCTCAAATTTTCTTCTGCCTCCTCCTTGCCCACATGCGTAGAAAGAACCCATCAGGAACATCTTTCTAACAACAAAGGATGACTCCAGAAATTCCAGAGTGAAGAGGAAGCTCAAGAAATTGGGAAAAGATGCCACATCCCAAGATTCTTATGTGCTCAATCTCCACTCTGAGAATCTCAGGTTGCACAGATCCAAGGACCGCCAATTGCCAAAACAGGCATCCCCCCACTCCCCACCCCACCCCCGCAACATATTAGGAGAATGTTGACTTTTGTCTTTAACACCTTCTTACCTTCTCTGTCAGGCCTCCCCACCACTATCTTGACACCCTTTCTCTCTTGGAATCGGGGAGCTTCACAAGAAAAACACATCTCAGTTAGTTATCACATTCGATTAAACATCTCTCCCTGAAGTGTAAATATCTCAGTGGCTCCTTTTTTCCCATAGATATTTGCACCCCTTAGCTCTGTAGCAGCCTCTCAAACAGTGGAATGTCAGCTATCAGGGAAAGCTAGATAAGGTGAATATTTTGGGAAAAAGGACTTCCCCAAAGTCTTTCTCAAATCAACTCTCTTTGGGACAATTACGACAGTGATTTATTAAACTAAGAAGGCTATTACTTTGTTCTTGCCACATAAAATGTCTATGTTTGCTTAGCTTAGCTGATTTCCTGGTCTATATGAAATACACTGACAGAATTCCATAGAAAAATGTTTGTCTTTTTTTCCCCTCCACCTTCTTTTTTTATATTGCTTACACGAAGTTTCTTCCCCTTGGGAAGAAATTTTTAAAATACTTCACAGCTGCTTTGAAAACAGCTGTATAAATGCAAGAAATTAACAAGAAAAGCCAAAACATGCACCAACACAAACTAAGACCAAAGTTATTAAACCATAACCTAAAGGTAGTCAAAGTAAAAATATACATAACTTGTTGAGTTCAAAACATATGCGATTTAATTAAAAAATCTAACTCGCATTTAAAAAAGAATGGCTAAGCAAAACAATAAGTCTGACACTTGAAAAATCGTAAATCACTCACACATACATGCACAACACACGCATGCACATAATCATTTCCTGAAAACTTAAGCTAAAGCCACCTGAATATGAAAACACAGCAAGGTCTTCAGCACACGAAGCTTGTTGAGTTGAACAGAACAGTTTTATGAGAACATGTCATTTATCCATAGCAATGTCCATTAGTCATCTTGTCGCGATCCATGCAAAATGATTATCTACTTTATCACCTGGAGTAGAGCACAGAGGTTTCCCATTGGCTGACTGCGTCCATTTGTTTTCTATTCATTCCTGGGACAGAGGAATTATAAAGCCGTGTGTAGGAAATGCAGCATTTGTCCCACACAATCTTCTTTATCTTTATTTGCCCTGTTGTTGGCTATATTTTTAGCCTACTGGTGGCCAAGGGTCATGTTTCTATGAAGATAAATTTCATACTTGACCGGCCGTGAGCTGATGATGTCAGCGCACATCTGTGCCAGGACAGATTCAAAATGATGGTGAAAAGGAAGTTTCTGTATTTTATTTCTGTATATATTGTCCTGTTTTCCTGATAATGGGGCCAGGGAAGACTTGGAACCAGGGCCTATTTTTCTGCCTTGCTCATCTCCCGACAATGGATAAATAAACTCAGCCCTCTTTGTTGGCCAGACGTCAGTCTGACTATCTGGGGGATGTCTCAGATCCTCCAGGCCTGTGACCCAGTGTCCTCACCTGCAGACCTAGTTTTGCTCATGCCCCGGGTGACTCAGGGTTAGAGCAATTGTGTTTCATCCAGAGTTTTCTCCCAGTGAAGACCGGGTTCGCTATGTCCACAGCAATGCTTCCTGTCCGTTAGCAGCCTGTTTGACATTTGATGTGTGTCCCTTTCGTGTGTCCACTGGAAGCCAAATGGCATAGCTCAAAGATAACATTTTGCCCTATTTTCCTTCCATTTCAAAATGAATTCGAGTTTTCTGTATGGGTAAGTTCAGAGTCTGGGGGGAATTCCAAAGTCAAGAATGTTCTGTTTGTGAAGTAATCCTAGTAACGTGTGGAATTTTCATCGTGATTTTTTTTTTTTCTTGCAAAGGCTAAACGTTCAAGAAAAATGCAGGAAACTGGCAATTAGAATCAATTCCCTTCACAACAACAGCAGGATATCAGTTAGAAAGTATGTCCTTTAACTGGTGTAATAATTGTCAGCAATAAAACTCTGGGGAGTGCCCACAGACTACACACATTGGCCTGGGGGACATGAGAGGTATGGTTCTGTTGCATGAAGAGGTCATGTTTCAAGGGCTGGTTCACATGGCGGTGTTTGGAATTTGGAACATGAGTTTTGATTAAATGCATGCTGCAAACAAAGGTCCCAGGTTGAGTTCCACAACCCATAACATGCAAAATGTATTCTACCTGCAGTAGTTACAAAACAAACAGTAAAATTATATGATGGAATGAGATAAAATAGATTCTTCAGCCACAAGGCCATTTGTAAACAATGCATTTATTACATCAAAGACTGATTTTTTAATATCAGTATCTACTCGTAGGTCTCTCCCTGTTTAGTTATTCAGTGAATCCAGCAAATGTTTACTGAGCACCTACTATGTGCCAGACACTATTATAGGGGCAGTAAACAAAATTTGACAGAAATCTCTGCCATGATATGAGACAGAGACAGAGAGAGAAGAGAGGGAAAAGTGAAGTACAATTGATAAGTGTTAAAAGGAAAATTAAAACAGGGTTAGAAAATGTCAAGAAGGGTGTGGTGGCAATTTTAGATTTTAGTACTGAGAAAGTACGGTCTTTATCAGGTTTTGAAGCAGTGAGGAAGTGTGATATCCAGGTTTTGGTTCCCACCAGAGGCTGCAGTAAGTGCAAAGGCCCCAAGAAATGCCAGATTTGTCTAAAAGCAAATGAAAAAAACATTTGTTGGCTCCTATGTCCAAGGAATGAGATAAAAACTGTGTGACTAGGGAGGCCCAGTCTGGGAAACACCCCAAGATGCAGAATATTTTAATTAAGTTCTCCCCACCCTCTGGGGAGAACTTCTGAACTTCTGTTGTCCTCTTGGAGACAATCAGCAAGGCAAGAATTCGCAGAGGATCAAGTTCATCTCTCCTTGTGATCATCTCTCCTTCATCTCTCCACAAGTCCATCTCTTGTGTGTTCTAATTTATGCATGAGACAGGATCTAAGAATGCTTGTGATGTAAAATCCTTTAGTTAATTTGTAAGCATGTGTTTGTATACGTGTTTTTTTATGGTGTCTTTTATGGTACAGAAGTTTGAAAAATGTTTATTGCAAAATGGAACATGCATACAGAAAGCAGTGACACGCAGCTCAGTGATTTATCACAAAGCAAACACCCAAGTAACCACCCCCATGTCAAGACACAGAACATTGCCAGAGCCCCGTGCTCCTCTGAGCACTCTTCCTCCCTTCCCTGTAAGGGTAAACCCCCATCGGACTTTAAAATAAACACTTCCTTGCCTTTTTATTTGAAAGAGAGAGTGGCAAACATTTGTACCCCCATAATATGCTGAAATTTAAAAAAATGAAAAATAAATAAATAAATAAAATAAACTTGTGTTGAAGAAAAATAAAAGAGACAGTGGCAAATAGGCCCCCATTTAGCCCTCATCACCCAGCTTCCCCCACTATCAAAGACAGATCCATCGTGTTTCATAGAAGACCACCCCTGCCCAGCTACGTTATTTATTTACTTATTTTTATTGAGGGATATTCTACATGAAGTACAATGCACAAATCTAAAGTAGACAGTTCCATGAGTTTTCACAATGGTGCACACATATATAAACTGATATAACATTTGATCATTACAAGTCTGATTTGTATCTGTACGAATTCTCTTTAATAACTAGGAACGCGGCAGCGCAGGGTAGAGCTTCAGTGCCCTTCTGTATGCGTGTAGAAGTCCCACTGCAGCAGCTAGCTGGCCATCAGACGGGTCCCTGAAGCATGCTGCCCTTTCTAGACGGAGACAGCCATCAGCTGCCCGCTCCTTTCCCCTCCCCCACCCCCGCCCTCCCTTTCCTTCTGTAGGCCAAATAGTTTGTTATGGATTGGTGATAAAAATCAGTGTCCACTGAAAGACACGTCAAGACCCCCACCGTGGGAGGCCTTCAAAACACGCCAGGCCACGTTATGCCCCAGTGTGAAGGGACCGACCGTCAGGGGGTCGCAGGCCACATCCACTAACTCCCTTCTCCTGTTTCCCATGAATAGAAGGGCTTTGCCCCCAGTTCCACCAGAAGGCTCCTTCCTGCTCTTTCCTGGGTGACGGCAGACTGCAGGGTGTGTCAGGTGTAAGCTCAGGAAGGTCAGCACAGCAGAGACAGGAGGCTGAGTCTCCGGTTAACGACTCTTCTTAGTGACACATTCGGTGACAAGGTTTTCCCGGTGACACTGAGCAGAATCCAGCACTCCTTGTCCTGATTCCTCCTCCCTGTTTTCTGCACAACTCATGTAGCTTTCTCTGCCAGGTAAAGGGTAATTGTGTGCAGTAAACACATTTATGCCCTCTCGTTACAGGGAGCTTATGAAGGCAAAATATCTTTATTTCACATTCCTCAAGAGGCCGTCTGTCAAAATTTGCCTATGCCGATTCTCAACACCTATTTGCTAATAAATGATGTTTACAAAATGAGTCAGAAATGCATGACTTCATGATATAATTATATCTCCTGTTATAATTATACTTATATGTTAACTGCATATTTTGCATACTCACAAATATTTTATTAATCTACATCCTTGCCTCAGTTAAAAAATAAAATTAAAAAACCCCACTAAAAACAAACCTCGAAGTCTTACAAGGTGTTCATAACTTTTGACTGGGCTTAAATTTTGTGTGGATTGTTTTCACTCTTTAATTTTCTTGACGTGATCAGCCAAACAGTATCTATTTTACCCAGCGGCCTATATAAAACTGCTGCTATGAGAAAACAAAAGTAAAATATGGTTTTCAAAGCTGGCCTGTGTTACTCACAGGTAAGAGTGATATAATCCCCATTAGACAATGACATTATAAAGCCATAAATGCCACTGCATGTACATGCAGGTTTTCCGTGGGCCTAAATATAACCTAAGATCTATGATAAACAACACACAGTTCCAAATCTCTCAGAGTCTAAATTTTCCATCTGGAGGGTTTGGTGTTACGGTGTTCCTTTGTACCAAATATTTTGTATAACAGGAAAATAAAAATAAAATCTCCACCATAAACAGGGCCTTGATCAGTAGTTCCAAGATTAGGAAATGCAGCTTTTTATGATCCTTCCACTTGGATGCTGGTTAAAAGACTACCTGAGGATCTTGTGAAA